GCAATGATTGCCTTGCGCTCTGGCCCAGGGTGTAGCCTCAGGTGAAGTAGTCTCATCTCAGGGTGAGCGGTTGGGAAAATACTCTTGTCACCCTGACTGCTGTCTTGTTTCAGACAGACAAGTTTAACAGGACAGCAAAATAGCAAATATGATTTAAAAGCAGTTGTCATCTACCATCAAATGAAAGGGCTGATGTAACTCTAGCCTGTTCCCCCAGTCTCCAAGTTGTTATTCCCAGCCAGTCGCCATCCATCCAGCCTGCAGCATGGCAAGCATTGGCTCACTTGCTTAAGTGTCCTCTTCCAAGATCCTGATTCATTTCTTTCTGAAATACTACTTGTGACCACAAAAGATTCATATTCTGAAAATCAGTCGATTTGATATATTTCCTAACCTTCTCTGTCTTGTATGAGTTCAAGACAGAGAAGGGCTTAGAGGTAGAGACCCCCCATATCTTCAACCTATCTCCTTCCCCCCCACTCCACCACCCAGTGTTGGACAACCCACAACCTCTCACCCGGGCCGTGTGCTTCTGAAGCTACATCCCAACGTCAAAATACAGGAACATAACCCTCATCCCACCTGCCCGCCTTAGACGTGACAATCAGGAACCCTGGGAGCCAGAGGCATCCGTATCTTGCTTTTACTTTGAATACTTTGTGTATGATTCCCACTTCTGGACTTTGGCTTGAAGTGTTAGTCTGCCACAAGGACGTGCCATGTAGCCTGGGAAGAAAACCAGTAGATCTTTTTATCATTATTGCCTTGTCTCTCTGGGTCACAGAGAAGCAATAGCCTCAGTTCAAGATTGTGTTCAAAGGAGAGATGTCAAGACTGAGTTGTTTTCTGGTAAAGGAGGGATGGATAAAATATTAAATGCAGCCTTCTGTTCACCCTCATCTTAGCATTTCCCAGCAAGTATCTCAGAGCATATTTCCACCGTTCTTTTATTTAACATCTTTAAAACTTGAAATTTTTCAGATTGGGGGGAAAAAATACTGGTAAATTAGTTTAATTGAAAACCCTCCTGCATACATTCAAGTGTCCTTTATGTCACACGTGTAAATTATGCAGTTCCATTTACTAAAAGTACTAGTATATTTTTGTGAGTTTAATTTTAATCTCCTGCTGTTGAAGAGGACGCTGGAACGTAACGCACAGAGCCGGTTTGGCTCCGAGTGATGCTCGGTGTTGTTTTAGTTCAGTCAGTAAAACTGGGGGCAAGGGGGGGAGGAAAACTTAATTTCTGTCCCATCCATGTTAACTGTGTGCGTTTCTTTATAATGTTATTGAATCTTTACCTCATGGCCGAGCAAGGGTTAGGTGGAGTTTTATTTTGCACCGTTTTTATTCTACCTTTCCTGCAGCATCTGTTTACTCATGTGGGACAACTATAAGAACAGCAGAGAAGCAGAGATGTGTCCCGAATGCTGCCTTATGTTTGAAACAAGTTTGGAATAGCTTGAATATGTCCTGAACACGGTAACGCCCCAGAGGTCATCTCTTCTGCTGCTTCTCTGATAGAAGTCACACGTTTGAGCCAGTTGACATGTGCCTGGCAATCTAATGTGATTTAGATAGATGTTCAGTGATTTGCCGTGCGTACCTGGGGTTTGATCCAAAGTCTGGTAAAGTTGATGGACTCCCATCACTTCACTAGCCTTTGCCTCACCCTATTATGGAGAACATGGCAGCGCTCCATCTTCTGTACTGTCTTCTTCCTGCACGTGGCATCCTGTGGGTCTCTTTTTCCATTCTGTTTTGTGCACGGTGGCTGCTAAGTAAAAGTTGCTCTGATGAGTATAACTTTTCAGTCCACACATGCAAAGCACGGAGAAAATGAGTAGAGCCTACTGGAGAAGAAGCCAACTGCTCTCTGCCGGCTTCCTTCTTGTCCTTGGAGATTTGCAGCCTGCAGAGTAGAAATCATTCACCCCTGGCTCTCATAAATTTCAGCAGAACAGAGTGGGACTGAGGCAGCAAGGCAGAACAACAGAAGAGGGGACAAAGGAGAGGGAGGATACAATAGGGAGTAGAGGAAGGAAGTTGCCCAGAGCTGATTTAAAGCATTTCCAAATGAAAGGGCAGAACAGACCAAAATGTAAATGAAATGTTTTCCTGGTCTAAAGCCTGTCTTCTAAATCCCCCTCATATTAAAAATAGAGAAGTTACTTGCTTTACAAAATGTGGTTGTGATGCACATGAGTATGGGCATGGTTCTGTAATAGGTTGGGCGTGGCAGGCCATGAAATAAAGGATGTAAACAATTTTGAACCATTTATGTTTTTATTAGAGCTTTTATCTTTGTAACTGTTTTATTAGTTACCATGGATACAGACAACACAGGGCTTGTTTGGGTTAATGAAAAATCTATCGCGCTGATAAAACCGTGATGTGTTTTTGACAAATGTGCATTACTTCAGTCCCACTATTCTTGACAATTAATTTGAACTGTGTTGGCATTCTTGTAGATAATTAAAAAAAATCTGTGGTAATTCTTAGTGTGTGCGTTTGCCATATAGAGCATTGCAAATAATTTTAAGTACACTGCAAGACCAAACAAAAGTTGGTCTCAAATTAGGGATTGTAATAGGTATAAATTATTAGGCGGTCTATTTAAAAGCATGTTTTGTTTTCTGAAATTGTTCATAAAAATCCACATTGTAAAACTAAATTACAGAATGTTATTAGATAACTGAGTGGCTTATCTTAATATAGGTGCTGCTATGAATACACAAAATTTGCTTTCATGTTGCAAATGTCACAGTTACTATACCAGCTATAAAAAATTATGATCTTTCTACCAAAAGTTCACTACTTCAGAAGATAAATGTAATGAATTTGATTTATATCATCTTCATTCCAGCTCCTTTGGTCAGCAAATGCAGAGCTATTATTAGCTTTAATGGTTTTAGATTATTAAAAAAAAACAAAACCAGTTTCTTTTCACTTTTCCTGAAGTAAAAAATGAAAGCTTGTCCATTAATGCTTTATTGGTGCTTGTAGTGAGTTTCTAGACTGACATATATGATAATACAGTATAGAGTTTTTATATATGATAATACATTGTAGAGTTTTTATTGGCATGAGTTTGGGATCTCCACCTTTGTTAAAAGTGCATTTGTCGCTGGTCCAACGTTGTCTGCTATGTGGATCTCAATTTGTGGGAGAGGGAAAGGAGATTTCCCATTTGAGGGTAAAGCGGGAAGGAATACACTTCTGGATCAGGTTGATTTGAAAGAATAAACCTTTAGAGATCTGAAAATAACGGCAGTGGCCCTTGCAGAAATGGATGAGCAGTCAGAGTACAGGTAGAGGCAGTCAGAGGTATGATAAATGTGCCTCTTTGCATGGCTTTGCAGTTTATCATGTGGATATTGCTTTTGTATATGTGGGATCTGTAAAAATACATGATCACATAGTGCTGCTCCCTGCTAAGAATGCAAAATGATGTGGCATGAAACCAGGATTCAGAGCACAGCTAGGGTAAATGGGCTGTGCATGGGGGAGGCCCCGAGGCTTGAACAAGGAATGAACCGCCCCTGCAGCTGCAGCACGTTCCCTCTGTGCAGTGAGATCTAGCTATTGAATCAGTGAATTCACTGTCCTTTCCCCCCGAAAAAATTACCCATGCTGGGGAGCTGAGAGCCACAGATCAAATCCTTGTAGTGAAACAGGGGTTGCAGGCCTCTCTCCCTCCTGCCCCACAACACATCCACAGTCATTCCATTCCATTCAGTCTTTGGGGATATGGAGAATAGGATTTACCTCATTGCAGTGATTTAATGATCAGAAAGAGAAGAAATAACTCGTAAGCAGAACAGCCATCAGTGCAAATCTGTCTGTTCCGGGAAGTAAAAGGAAATGCAGTAAGAGGAATCAACCATAATGTTCATACTGTGAATACAGCATCCCTCTCTTCAGTACTAAAATTGCATTAAGTCATGTTTATAATGTGCTAGAATGGAAAGATCAAGGTAAGTTTGGGTTTCAAAGACTTCTCCAACTTTTGAAAAAAAATTCCAGAAGTTTTGCAAAATATTTTAGGTCTTTTTAAAGGTAATGTTTTTCAAGTGACTTCATTTTTCTTTCTTAAAAATCAATCGAAAGCCACAAGAAAACTTTCAAAACAATGGCTTCCTAAATGGAGGTAGATGAAAAACCATTTGAAGTTCCAGTGACCAGACTTTTCATTCTAGAACAACATTCTTCTACAGGATCTGTAAATGCTGGCCTCAAGGTCTTAGATATTGGGAACCTGGCATTCTTGGACTAAGAGTGAATTTCATCTCTGTGTAGGGGTATAAACCTAGAGTCCCATTAGCTATAATTTGGCAAAGGAATTATTGAAGGTGGCTTTGGAAATATTTTTGCCATTATTTGTGTGCACTGTGTCATAGTAACAGACGTCCCCTCATGCCAGATTTCCCCTCCTGTATAATTTTGTCCATCTACCAGCAGAGGATTGATTGTAGCCTCTAGCAAGATTGCTTCAGTCTCATGCCACATTAAGCCTTTGTGTCTGCAGCCCAGAGGAAGATATCTGGGTCTCCAAGATTCAACAGCTGTTGGGTTACCACAGTAGCAGTATGTTAATAAAGACACGGCACCCACCTTCTTTTAGTCCTGGGTGCAAAGAACATCAGATAGGATTACACATTAGCTCTCCATGATGGTTTCATTTACTTCAACCAAGCAGGCCCCTGAAAATGTTCTTGAAATTTATTGGGTCAGATATTTTCCTGGTGTAATGCGACTGTTGAGGAGTTAACCAGGGCCAAGGCCAGGTCTTGAAAGCCAAGTATCCTTGCTGGTATTAACACAATGGGTGCTCACCATAGGATAGTTGCTTGTGTTTGAATGCTTGCAGGATTAGGTTTTTATCTTCATTTTAAGATTCTGAGAAATATTCCAGCAATTAGAAGCCATAGAATCTGGAAACAAAAACCAATCTTCATATAGCTCTACAGCCTTGACTTTGTTTTGCATTTCTTTTGTAGGTCTTGGGCATGTCCAGTGGAGGTCAGGCAGGTTTTGGGACTCCTTCATCCAGGCAGTATGCACGACAAAAAATAACTCGCGTAAACCTCAGGGATTTCATCTTCTACATGGAACAGGAAAGAGAAACAAGCCATTCTCTCCTGCTCTACAGAGCTTTGCTTAAATAAGGCCAAGAATTATACTGGTTTCCTCATAGAGAAGCTCAGCCTGCATTGAAGATCTGTCATTTTAATGTGCCTTCTATTTTTTTCAGATGTCAGTGTTCCAGTAATTTGTTTAGTAACATTGTCAGACCATGCAATAAATTTCCCTTATGTAAAAAATAAAGCAATGAAAAATGTGCAACGGGGTTAAATCCACTGATGGGGAATCTGTGCTTAATGTCTTACTACATTTGGCCATTTTTAGATGAGGCTAGACACAGTCTCAATGCCACTAAAATTATACAGATTGTTAGGGCCAGACTGCAAAAGCATACCCAAGTCATTACATTGATGACACAGGGCAGCTTGCAAGAAGATGGGCTTGCAGGATCGGGACCTAATCATGACATTTGGTTTTATTAGCAGTATGTTCTGTTGCATTGCTAGGTTTTCTGTTTCTTTTTACCGTTTACTAATGCTGTTTTCACTGACTAACCACAGTGATGCCTCTTGTTATTTTAAGTTAGTTATATTTGCAGTTTTTTGCACAGCTAAAAGAAATAGCCGCTGCACACTCCTGCATATTTTACATATTTAGGGTTTTTATTTTTACTGCACAACATGATGCTCATTGGCTGAACCAAATCCCAAGTGTATGAAATCTGCATTTGGGTCCCAGCTGACTTACCTTGACTAGCTTCCAGTTGTTTTTAAAATCTACTCAGCCTTTTGCACATTTGTAGCAGCTGGTTACTAACAGGAATCAAAGTTTCTTTTTTATTTAAAAAAAAAATCTTAATTTATTTATTGTGAAGTGTACGGTTTGATGGTGGTTTTAAAAAAAATTGTTCAGTAAAGATTTTAGTGTGCTACCTGTTTTTTTCAAGTCCCAGTAAAGATATATTGTCAAGGGGCCAGCCCTGCTCATTGGAGCCCGGGGAACAGTGTTCAGTCCTAATGGTCCAATCCTGCAAGACTGTCAGGGTCCTCACTGAAGTGACAAGAGTTGACTTTACCTTGCATGGTTGGACCTTAAGACTCCAATTCAGAAAACCACTGAAGTATGTGCATAACTTTATGTATGCAAAATTGCACGTGTGCTGAAATGTTTTGATGGATTGGAGTTTTAAGGGCCTCAAACCAAAGCCAGTTGAAGTTGGTGTGAATCTTTTCAGTATGCTTTGGCTAAGGTAGGGAGTGAGCAGGTGGGCACCAATTATGCTTCAGACATAACAGTGTTATCTGAAACCATGGAAGGGAAACATTTGCTTATTTATATTTTTAATTTTTACTATGTGTTTATGCTTGCCACTTTTTGAGGCAATTATTTTTGGTTTTTTGTTTTGTTTTTTGATGGAAAACAATAGTGAAAGCACAAATAGAACTATTTGTCCAATAGTTTTAAAAACAAAAGTTTTAATTATTTTTTAAGGTTTATGAAAAGCAGAAGAAAATTTATACTGCTGCTATTTAGCCAAAAGATTATTCATAAGGTATTTAAGGCCAGGAAGTGTAAAATTATGTTTTAAATGTACTGATAATTTGTACATATTGTTTATAAAGACCTTGTGTTTATTAGAATTATGTTATTTTGACGATTTCTGTACATACTCGTAAATACCCCAATTTGTGTGAAAACATACTTCCTTATTTGTACTTCTTTTGTAAAGAAATAAACAATTTACTAAAGTAACACATTTGAGTGACGCACAGTATTAATTTATCAAACAAGAATTTCAGTTTCACATTGTCTTGTAGTTTGTAAGCACTGTTCAGAAACATTTTGCAATAAAATATGGACAGAATATCCACAAAGAAATACTAAAATTGAATATTTAATGTTCTGTTGTGCTGATTCTTACTCTTTTTCAAACATCTGATAAAGTTGTCATCAGATGTTGAAGCTATTAAATACAGCCCAGTGAATGTATTTAAAACAGATTTGGCTAACGAGCGCAACATAACATTCTTTTTTCACTTTTTTTGTCAAACTTGGCAATACAGTGGTGTAGAAGGGTATATATAAAAGTGCTAGAGAAGACTGAAGTCCTTAAAACCACAATTTCAGTACTCAGCCAGAGAGAATCCAAACAATTTTGTTCAGTCAAATTAAATTAAAAAACAAGCCACGTTTACTTTTTAGTCTTCAAACTAAAAACATTCACTGTCTGCACACCACAGTTTTACTGGAGATACTTTGATAGTTTTATATGACTCTGAGCAATGATCTTGCTGAAGGTGCACTGGGTCAGACATTTAAAAAAATCAAATCTGTTTTGTTACTATTGCTGCTTTAGAATATAGGGGTAGACGTACAAAAGATATAAATGAAACTGTAATAAACTTTAAATAAGTGACCTGAAGTCACTAACTAAAAGAATATGTCCTAGCTTTACTTTTCTTTTTAAAAAGGCATATTTCTCCTAACAAAGTGATTGTTTCCACATGTCTTGCTTGCTTCACTGCTAGTTTGCAGTTAATGTTGTGATGTCACGGCTCAAACTTTCCATCTCAAGTTCACATTTAACTCACTTGGCGCAGTCTGGAACCTTTTATGCTGCCACCTTACCAAACTGCTATAAGTACTGGAGCTGCTTTATTGAGCTATAAAAATATGGTGATCACCAAACTGAGGAAAAACAAACTAACTGACCACAAATACTCCAAATGATTCTCTGCATACAACTAAAGCATTCCTTGGGAAAGGACACGAGTGCCTTCAATTTCTAGTTCACATCAGGGGGACCTTAATCTTGCTGGAGGAGCTCAATATCAATGCCCTTATGATTAGATCCTGTGCAGAGACAATAACTACTGTTGATTTGAGTGGAAGTTTTGCCTGAGTGAGGAGAGCAGAATTGGGCCCGTATTATTGAAACATAATAGAGTTATGTAGGAACTTCCCTCCAATAACTAACTCTTAATGAACAGAACAGCGTATGCTGAATATTCCTGCTCAGGATGTAAGCATAACTTGTATGTGGTTAAAACAAAAAGCTGCGCTGATGGTTTTAAGGGGAATTTGACCTGAAATTGAACAAAATGTAGCAAACTAATAAATAAATCTTCTTTTGAAGGGATAGCTGTAATGAACTGAGCAAAAGGTAGAGGAGATGCAATCAAACCGTCTTACCTGTTTTAAGAATGTGGGAGAGAAAGTGAGTGTTCCACCCTACTTGCTTATTTTTGATCTTTTACTTTACAGAAATGTTTATGGCATGAAGTACTGTATAAGAAATGTGTATACACAAATACATGACAATTATACGTTAAGTTTTTTACAATATTAAATGTATAATATACAATTCTACAGATATCTTACATAGGTGAATGCCGTGCCATCTATTCAAATATGGCAGTACCTAGCAATTTTATTTAGTGTCATACGAGTATAAAACCACAAAATAAAATAGCTTTAAAACTCTTTAAAGGAGACAGATTTGCCCAAGTGTCTGGCAACTGTTCTGCTAAGGTAGCAGGCCAGTGCAAGCATGTTAAGATCCTCACAAGAGACTTGTGTTTTCAGGTGTCCGGTTTGCGAAGCTGATATTCAGAGGGACCCAGGTGCACAGCACCATCCAAAAATCTGGCCCGGATACAGACTCCAGCTCAGGCCCTCAAAATCACTTGTCGCTTCTGAAAGTTCTAGTCTTCACCTCTAAGTCCTGATTTCTGCCTAATTAATCATTTGGAGTTAGAGACTGAGAATTGTCAAATATTGCTGACTGCTTCATACTCTGTCCCTTGTTCTATATGGCTGTACTTATACATCTAAAAAGAGTTTAGTTAAAATTCAGTGTCTACAACAGTGTTCTATAAATTAACGTGGGAGAAACTAAATTGCGATTAACACGTGAATTAGTTATTGAGGACCCAATCATGCTAAACAGCAATAAACAGGATTTAGCAGAATGCTATTTATATACTTGCACCTGCAAACATGGTGCTGTCTCCTGAGTTAAGGAAGCTGCATAAGACAGAAGATTGATGCTGTACTCGTTAAAGGAACAGTAACCTCCAACAGACAAAGGGCAGCTTTAAAGAGAAAAGTACACAGGCAGAGAGCAGGTACAGAAATAGTATTTTAGTTGTAGTTTCAAATTAGTAGAAAAGAATCTCCAAACAAACGCTGGCCTGCTCCTGTCCAATTGTAAGGAGAAGAATAAGGTTTTAGCATCACATAGTAAAAATTCCAGAGCCATGAAGAGCAGAGGGCATCCAAAACGTTTAACATCACTTCTGGCACGTGGGCACAAAACAGATTTAGTATGTGAAGAAGAAATGAGGAACAGAACTTGCTCAGCAGAATGACTGCTCCTCTGATAATGCAAGACTTGGAAACTGAGTTAAAGACAGCAAAACTGGCTTTAAAAGAAGGGTGTCAGGGGCCTGGGCTTATGTAGTTCAGGGTCAAGTGGCTTTACTTTAACTTGTGCTACCAGATCCCTACCTTTGCAAAGTTTGGCCAAGATTAGTCTTGTCGATTGCTTTTAAAATACTGAGCACCAGATGACTATGACTTGGTCCCTTTCTGATTCTGTGCAGTTATTTCAGTTGTAAATGTATAAAAATAAGCCATTTGCTAGCATGGATGAGTACAATCACAGAAGTGTAACATAACATATGGAGGTGGAAAGCACGTTTGATATGACAGGTGTGGCATTCAGACAGGGAAGATATTCAGTGCAGTTTTTAATGTACCATCTTCCTTTTGGGGGCCTCTGCATCCTACATTACTGTGTCGCTGATGGGAGAGGCAGTCAGGAAAGCTGTCAGATTCATTTCTTCAGCTGACGTATTCAAATTGCTTTAATAGGTCTTTTCTGCAGAAGTCCAATCAAGGGTCAGTATTTTGTGAAGCTTTGCTTTTGTCAACATCACAGCTGCTTGGCTGAAAGTACGTTCCCACAAAGCCTGGTACGCTGAGCATGCTCAGTGATTTCATCATGAAAAACGAACAACTGGTTTTTCAAATGCATTTCATGGCTGGCTAGGTGACAGGTAGTTTGAGAATACCACTAATTGGCAACATAAAGTCAAAATTTGTTTGCTAATACTGTTTTGCAAATCCTTAGTGTTTCACATGAGGGACTATTAAACACTTCTACGGTTACAAAGGAGGAAAGGGGAGGTTCTAGTCCAGGGGCTCTTGCTTTATTCTGATCGTTGGGGTGGGTTGTGGTCTTCTGTCTTCACGACACAGCACATATTCACTGAACTGAGAGGAATCCACCCCACCGCCACATGAAGCTGCCACGTTAAATCCCTTCTGAAATAATCTTTCAAGCACCTGCAATGTGAAAAAGAATGCAGATTAATTTTGGCCAGTCTGAATGTGATAAAGGCATCCAGGAGCAGTGGATGTGAATGATGTATCTGCTCTCTCCACTTCTCATAGAATGAATATTATACAGCTATAATTCTATAACTTATTCTTAAATGACTACACTGTGATTAAAGTCTCGCTTAAAGCAAACCTCTGTAGAAAACAAAAATTAATCAAACAAATAAGCACTCTGCCGGGCAGTTTAGTACATTATATAGTAAAATACTGGACTGCAGTGATATTGATGCTATCTCTTACTGGAAAGCAACATTAGGTATAAGTCATAATAAAAAGTGCCCATTATTCATTATTAATATGAACAGTGTCAAGGAAAAAGGCTGCACCTTTGCTTCTTTGAGCCTTGCTCAGTATTCCAGTGCCACAAGTGGCCCTCCCTGTTGTTTTCCTACTGAAGTTCAGTTCTGAGGGCTAGAGAATGGTTTGTTATAAGAACCTCCCATGAATGCTCTTTTTCATATTTGCTTAGAGTCCTTTGGCAGCACCTTTTTAGCCATCAGCCATGGCAAGCATCCATATGGGATAGAGCACCAAGGCAGTGGCCTCAAGCATCTTCTAGGAACACAGGCCGTTCCAAAGCCCAGCCAAGGCAGTGGTGCACGCAAAGCAAGATCCCATCGTCCTGCAGACTCCCAGCAGGGTAGCATGCATGTGATTGAAAGTGGGTCTTGCCCCGCAGTCCCATCAAGATTTTCTGAATAAAAAGGTGGAACAAGAATCCCACGCCCAGATGTGATATCTGCATCCAAATCCTCTCCCAGCTAAACCCTTCCCAGAGGCCACTACTGCCACACTGTAAAGCAACTTTTGACCAAATCCTGCCCAATCAAAGTGTCATAGAAATGATCTACAGGGGAAATGCTAATACTAGCATGTAACTGAAAAGTCAGAGAAGCATCTTTTCTTTGTATGATTAAATGAACTGACACAATATTTATTTTACAGACAGGGAAAACGGTTCCTGCCTGTTCTACTACCTATAAATGTCACCAAGAGTGAGCAGACTGTACTATTCTTAGAGTATATAAAGGTCTCTCTCTTCACTGAGGTACCATATAAATCACCGTGTCACAAAGCCATGAAATCCTGGGTCCATTGCACTAAAACTCAAGGCTGATTATTTGTTAAAATCCAAGTCCCCCACAATATATTGACTCATTCACCAAGCAGGTAGGGACGTGCTGTTGGCTTATTTTAAAAAGTTGCTCATTTGACTAGATTTTTTGTGCCAGGAAAGCCATGTGCTTAGGGAGGGGAAAGCTCAAGACCTTGTCCTGATAGAATCTATGCTAAGGAAAAATCTAATTTCTTTTCATGACTTGTTATGAGTGACACTATTAGGTAGATTAGGTTTGTAGTTACACGTACTAAAATCCATGCCAACAAATCTGCTTCAAGGCATGAGGGGATCACTATAGGGAGAATAAGAAATGCTATCCAGCCCCTTTGCCCTGGCCCCTTGCTTAGACCCACACAAATGGCGAGGTACATTTTTGAGGGTGCTGTTTCTTTTGTTCAGTTTTCTTTTTTGCCCCAGAAACTGCTCAGTTATCAGCATTTACTATGACAGGACGCAGAATTCAATGCTTATTCCAGGATAGCACACAGCTCATGTTAACATCCCCATGGTCCATTCATGGGGATGTTCTTGTGAAGTCTCCAGTATTAGCCCGTATCATTTTAATTGCTTCCTTGGATTTTTGGCAGACAACTGGAGCATTGTGCTTGCTAGCTGAGAGATGAGCAAAGGAAAGGAAGTGCTCCTGCTAGCACAGCTTTGCCAGAGCCAGGCAGGGGCTGCTCTGAATCAGCTTGCTCTAGGAGTGCTGCCTGGCCTGGGGATAAGGTGACTAGTGTTCTCACAGAGTTACATGTGCCAGATCTCACTGACTTTTGCCCTGATTTTTATACAGTTTATACATGTCAGGAAGTGTCAGGATGGAAGGGAAAAACCACCCCAGCAGATGAAAAGAGGGGGAAAAAACAGAAGGATGGAGTGTTTAGTGGAAAAGTATCATTAAAGTGCTGCAAGGAAAGATCCAGGTTCAGGCAGGTGTGGGGGCAAGCAGGGGAATGCAGCATTGGTTATGATTTTTACTACCATTTGCCCTCTGGTTTATAAGGGGAGTAGCTTGAGCAGGAAGGAAGTCACTGAGTTGTTCCACTGCCCAGACTTTATTTACTTATTTTAAGTATCCCGGTTCTTAAAGAAAGCAAGGTGGAGCCAGGAGCCCGTGCGCGCTGGCAGAGGTGTTTCCAATTAATTGGAACGAGAAAGGCAGATCTGATGGGTCAAATCTCAATTTTTGATCAGATTTCAAAACCCAGCTAAAAATTTCCAACAAATCAATTTGCTTATAACCCCCCCCAGTACTGAGGTGCTTGGCTAAGCCCATGGGTATGGCAGGCTGCATGTTACAACATAAGGCTTTTCTTTACTGAGCCAGCTGTATAAAAACACACTAGTCAGGCAGACATTACATCCGTAGACCACTGCGCACAGAACAAAGTGATTCCTTTGTGCTACCTGTGTGCTCTGAGGACTAGACTGCAGGCTACAATCTAGCATTAAAAACCAGGGGGTCATCAATCTTTTAGGCAGGAACCAAAATGGGTCACCATCCTGACACATTGCTGAGATTTTTAAATATGTTTGTTAAGCGGAACATGAATAAAGTTCTACCAGATTTTATGGGCAGAATCCCTGGGATGCTGCCTCAGTCCGTGCACGTGAGTGCATGTTGCACACTTTGTGTGCCCGATTAGGCTGTAAGCATGGAAAAGTGAAAGCTACCTTTTGAGAACCTTGCTCTCTGTGTTGTACTTTAAAAATGTAAGATCCAAAAGGGCTGCAAATTGATGCGTATCACCAAGAGGATGAGCTAGAACAAAACTGAATCAGATCTATCACTGCCCCATGGTATTATATTAAAGCAATATTGAAGAATAGATGAACATCAGAGTTAAGTACAGTCTCTGTCAGGCGCACTAAGTGTGTGCAGACCCAGGCTGCTATTTTGTTGGGAAGGTCTCCAAGCAGAAATGTGATACTTTAATTTAATGCATTTCATTTAGATTTTGCAGAGTGACATTAACAAATATGGTCTTAATTATGAAGTCTCAGTGTTCAGCATGTGCCATTTTTCACAGCATTTTCTCTGAAGCATGCTCAAATAATGCACAAAATCTCCTTTTAGAAGTTAAAAAAAATCAATTGTAAGAACGGTCTTTACGTGAAACTCTAACCAAGAATCCTAAACTGAGAGCTGCTTTTTTTTTCCTGGCTGTAATCTGCTACCATGTCGACATTCTTTGTTTCACATGTGCAGTTGCAGAGCCCTTGATATGAAACATTTCATGAAAGAACTTGAAAAAGTTCCAAAGAGTTCATAAATATTGCAGTAAGAAATGCTGTGCTCCCATATAGATCCACCAGGAATGGGGGGTACTGGCGTGAAATAATGGTGAAAACAAGTGTCTCATTAAAGAACAAGCAAGCATAATCATTACTCTTTGCTTTTCTGTGGAAATTTCTCTCTTCTCTTCGCCACAAGCCCCTTCACATCTCTCCCAAGTCTTTGTGTTTACATTCATGCCGTTAGAATTTCCCCCCTTAGCGCTGCTCTGCCGCATACCACCTGGAAAGGGGGTAGACGTGCCTCTGCCAGTGGAGGCCAACCTTTCTTGGCAGGTATGGCACAAGGTAAGCCCTGAACCCTCCCGGAGTGCCACTCCAATCCCCTTCCCCTGGCCGATCTGTTAAACTTCTACTGGCACCACCGTGAACTGAAGACATCCAGTACCGAATGAGGGGCACTGCTGAGTCTGTCTCTAGCTAACGAGGCTCCTTAGTTGTTTCACTTTTTTTCAACATTTTTTTCAACGCACCATTCTGTGGCATTTGTACAATGTACACTAATGAGGAAATAACGCTGCCCCGCTCCATGCCTGTCAATCCCAAAAGTGAGATGGAGATGTCCCCTAGGCACTGAGGCAGAGTGAGCACGCTGGGAACCAGGTCGTGGGTGCTCCCCGCCTCCCCATTTCCCTGGGTGTCCTTCCTCACCACCCTGTTTCTGGGGTTGATGTACTGACATGAGAGCAGCTGGGCAGAGCTTATTGCTGTGCCCCTGAGACTCAGGCCCCTGCCATCACACTGTAGACATACTTTGTGTGACCTGACCCGACCTAAATCTCCACCGCACAAAGAATCATCTCAAACTAGCCAAGGGCACTGAGTTCACCAGCTGAAGTAAATGGGAATATTTATTCCTAAACCCAAATTTACCAATAGATCTGTATCTTTTCCAGAGAGCTTTAAAACAAAAGCCTTCGCTACTGTATAACACATCAATGATTCGCATCCTAGAAAGAAGGAAGAACTGCTCATACTGGTGTTGCTTGCAGGTTAGTAAAAAGCATTTGTGTGTTTTCTTCCATACTGCTTCTGGGGAAGTTAGTTCTTCAGAAACGTCCTACGCTGGCAGCATGGGAGACTGAGTCACAGAGCAGGCGAGGTCCTCTGCATCCCATTCCACCTCCCCTCTAAGGCCGCATCCAGACGAGTGGGAACGTGCAATTCCCCAGAGACGAGGAGCAGTGGCACAACTTGTGCTGCTGCTACTTGCCCCCAGGGGATGCCTGTGCCAGGTGTGCTCGGTACCCAGCAGGTTACCCCGGGTGGGGTAGGGGAGGCTGGCAGAGTGTGGCTGCAGCTGGTCGGGCTCCAGTGTTAAGCAGTCACACTGCTGCCACATGCGCCATTCTGCTTTTTTTTTGGCATGGGTATTTTTGACCCCAGGATTTCCTGGGATCAACGCCCCCACCACGCTGCAAAGTAGCAGTGCAGGGAATGCCTGTGTGGGCAGTGTGTGGTGCCGCAGATGGGTCTGCAGTGCCACGTACTGTACGCCCTAAGTGGGGGGCATGCCTTGGGGGGAGAGACTGCTATCAGGTATGAAGAGCCCTCCTCCCTAGCCAGTTGTTCTGGACATGCTTGTCCACTAGGAAATGGGCTGAGACCACAAAGGCATTTGCCATAACCCAGTTACCAAAATAGCTGCAGGTGGTTATAATTCTGGTCTAGTCATCTACAGGCGAAAGGCCTCCTTTGTGATTACCTCTGACACAGAGCTGCCTGGGAAAAGAGACACCCAAAAGAAGAGCTCTTTGTGTGGCCTGCACTATTTAACATTGGCGTTAACAGCATAGTCCGCACACTCCTTTCTTCTCAGTACAAGAACAGCCACAAACTTTCATACCTTTGGCTTTCATGGGGCAAGGTGCAATGCTCTGTGCAAGGCCCTCCATGGCCGCTGAGGCTGCTGCCTAAGGGACAGCCACTTATTTATTCCCACTTCTACCCTATCTGTCCAGTTATCTTCCTTTGTTTCATATGTTTAATTTTAAACCTAATGTCAAAACTCTGAGTATAAAATGAAATACATTTTGTTTAAAATACTCTGGGCAATTTTTATAGAACATCCTTTTGAAAAAAAAAGTGCAGAGATCAATTTTTTTAAGTCCATCCCGCAGGCACCATCATTTAATTATGAGTGAGACATAAATTATGCATTTACACATTGTTGCATTTTCTATAAAATGGCGCGGAGATTTTTTTTTTTTTTTTGTAGTTTTTGGAACTCTCACTCTTTCTTCCTAGGGGCACTTTGGAGGAAAAAAACTGCTGCGAGCTATACATTGATGAAAAAATTAGCATTTATCAGTATAACACCATTATGAGACCAGCATGGCACTAACGTACACAAAATCTAAATCTATTTTTCTGCTTAGACTTAGGAAAACCTGAAAGACTGTGATCTCACCAGGCAGAAAATGTCTCCTTGCAGTCTAAGCACTGAAGGTAATTGGGCAGAAGCAACTAATTTGCATATAATTGAGCAAGAAATAAAGAAACAGCAGTGAGATGAGATAGCATTGCCATTACCTGCACTGAATTCAACCGGCAGTATCCATTCAAAGGAAACCTAATGACGTGGGTCGGGTCTTGGTTCCAACCTGCATTTACAGAGTTGCACATGACATCCCCAGTCTCAGGGAAGATCTCTTCTATTAAAGCTTTCTCCCCACTCAGTGCAATCCTTTCCCCGAGATCTGGAGTCACTCTTACAACCAGGCAGTCACAAGGCTGGAAATGTTTCCTTTGTTCTTTCTCTTGTTTCCATCGCTCAAGTTCCTTAATCATTGGCTGCAGCTGGTAATACTTTGCTTCTTCATATAAAAGATTAAAGTCCTGAAAAAAAAAAAAGAGACTAGAAATGCTTATGGTTCTTTTTTAAAATGAGTATCGTTCCCATTTGACCTACTTAGGCTTATAAAATTGTTAGCAACAGTGCAAAGGCAACAGGTATCCAAACAATTTATCTTCCTCTTTTCCTTCATGATACCTATGCAAAGCACTGCACTGTGGAGCAGTTTTAAGTGTACTTGAAAAGAGGGGAACATTCCTATTGTACTGAATCATTCTCTCACATTTGCTACCCCGTAAGTTCAATGCCAAAAGGCTTTTCTTTTTGATTAAGAAATCCCAAGTTAACTGGCTGCAGTAAGCAGGGCCTGCTGATCAGGGCTGGCCCACAAATTTTGTGGCCCTCTGCAAGATATAGTTTTGGGGCCCACTGATCCACTGAAAAATCAAAATTGCGGTATAAACTCACTGAAATAAAATAGTCGGGGCTGGGCTGTGTGCATGTGGGCTGCGCTGCGGGGGGCGTGGGATGGGGGCAGCAAATGCTAGGGATGCCTGGGTTACCTCCCCAGAGCCGGGGGCAGCAGAGCCAGGATTTCCTGCCCCGCTCAGCTGGGAAGGAGCTCCCTGCCCACATCGAGCCCTTTAAACATGGCACAGGTGGCGGGGGGTGAGCGGGGCACGGCCCCTTGGCTGTGGGGCCCCTTGCAGCTGCAGGTTCCACAGGATAGGACGAGTTGGCCTTTCTTGGCCCAACTCTTGAAATACCACATTTGTTTATATACCACACCTATCTTTCCCCCCCAAATTAGCAATTAAAGATTTGGGGGGGGGCTCTTAAATGAGGAAACTGATTCTGAACCATTTGGTTAAGAGGAAAGATCTTTTTTTCTTTATTCTGCCTTCTCAAAACAAGATGCTTGTCTTTTTGGGGATATGCAAATCAATACAGTAGCAAATGTGTGCCTACATTTTACCACATTACATGCATCCCTGCGTAACCATGCAGCAGTAACTCTGCTCAGGCTTTCACTTTAGCCCCTTCTTTTCTGTGCACTTTAAACTCAGCTGTGAAAACTCCCAAGAGGCCAAATCTGCAGTGCAACCAGGAAAGGCCTTGGTAGCCATTGTCTTAAAAACAGAGAAATGGAAAACCCGGGCAGTTTCAGTACAATGCAAGGTGCATGCGTGTGGCCAGGACCTTGGTTGTGGACTCTGCTGGCTTTAATGATTTAAACAACAAAATATATTTTTGCCAGCCATTTGTCCATTGTGTGATTGGTTCTTTTAGAGTAAATAAAGCAGCTCAACTAATGGACAAGGATGATTTCAGCATATGCTTACTAGTCACTTTTCAGCCAAGGTTTCCGATTTGTTCTTCCATCTCAGACCAGGCCACCAGTGTGCAAGGGGCCTGGCAGGCAGGGGAAGCAGCAGTGCTGATCTAATCCAGATGTTCAGATGCTTCCCTAGAGCTCATTAGAGTGGGAGATACAGGAGGATGTGGCTTGTGTCTCCTACCTCAACTACCATCTTCAGTTTTGAGAGGGGGAAAATGGAGAACTAAATGTAACAAAAATAACCATTCCAGAAATAACAGTAACTCCTGGGCCTTTGCACCTTCCAGGAGAGGACTCGTAGTGGATTATGCCTCAAAAATCCCTGTTCGAATGACTCTCATACATAATGCTATTCTGTGGGATAGAGACTAAGCAACTTTTTCAGATTACTTTTTCAGCCAGCTCCTAGAAATGGAACCCACAAGTCCTTTGCTCCACTAACTAGAAGATGCTCTGTCCCCAGAAGCATGGGAGGGGAATGCATAATCATGAGAGTGAAATTAAAGAGATTTACAGCAAAAGCTAGTGGTGTGAAAACAATTCTGGATACTTCTCTAGAGCCATAACCCAGGAGAAAATAGACTACATCAAAATGAATGTACCACTGATAAAGGGTGTGACTTTAAAATCAGCCTGTAGAATCCACTGCTGCAGGACTGCATTGAAGTAAAGTATTTAGCAATTCTCGTAGCAGATTGGGGTCAAATCTGGTACTGCGACTCCACTGTTGTTGCTACAGCTGGATATGCTCTTCCCAATTATAACCAAGAGAGATATGAGTAGGCTAATGAATAAACACCCCGATATATAAAGTTACACACAGGGTATCTGCACCCTCTGTTGCATTTTGAGGTTGACTCGTGCACACAATGGGGAGGGAAGGGAATGGAGGATTACAGGGGAGCGAGAGGAGTAAGTAAGTGGTAAGGGACTGGGAGAAGATGTGAGGACAGCAGTGAAGGAGGAGACCTACAAATAACATGTCTTGGCAGGAACAGCACTGAGCAATATCAGATGGGATGTACTGCATGGAAACTGGATTTATGTGCTGGTCCACAGGAGGGAAAACGGCCGAGTCGCACAACCATCCTAAGGTAAGAGACCAGTCATGGCAAAACTGTGCTTCCATGTGGTGGGGGCTTTGTTATACACCACAGACTATAGGTCTGGAAAGTACTTTCAGAACCGCTTTTTGGACTCTGTCCCATTTAGAAACATTCCTGAAATGAAGCTCGACAGTGAATTTATTTTCAAAAGTAAACACCCTTTTGTGAGCCAGCCCTGCTTCTTGGTCCACACTTGCAGAATTCCCTGAACATGAATTTGAATGCACAAGGGATCAGTCTAAATCTACAGGGATTACCAGTCTGCATTCAGAAGGCTCTTAGAAACCTTATGCCCAAGGCAGGCAGGAACAGCTCCCTCCACACATGGCCCACTCCAGCACTCTCTGACAAAATGGTAAGTCTCCCGTCAACTGCATCTACCTCTAGGTGCTGAGTCTACTTCTGGGTTTATTTTTGCTCATGGTCACTATTAAAGAACATGTTGTTAATATTACCAATATTAGCATTCCAAGGAAGAAATCACAAGAGTACCACTGTCAGAAGTAGAAAACACTGTATAACCAAAAGAGCCTTTCATTTAGTCCTAATGCAATGATGCAAAGCCATTCAGTTCAATGGGATTCTTTGCACTGACCTCACTGGGCTTTGGAGCTCACCCTCAGTATCCAGAATCACAAAGGCACAGCTGTATTGCTCTATGGGCATGTGTGTCCTGCCAAGACTAATTGTAGGACAGATGGGAGGTAGTTGCCTTAAGAGCAGCACTAAGTACTCGCTGATAAACTCCTTGCCTCAGGTATGCTTAGTGGCATGTGCCCAGCACTGCTCTAAGGGTGGCTACGTCGCACCTGTTCCAGGTTTGGCCCACAAAGAGTGGGTGTGCTGTGCTTCACTACCACGGTCTGGGGCCAGTGCAGACATGGCCTCAAGAGTCCTCTGATCCAACACTATTTTTGTTACTAACAAAAATAGTAACAAATTAAATCAGGATCTGGCCTTTTTGTTAGCCACAGTCTAGATTCTACTTGCTACATCACCACTGACTACTCACCATTGGTCCTAAGCATTTTTTGCTTAATCAGAACACAAATAAGATACGATTCCAGTTTTGGTGACTGCTGTGATTAGCCAGCAACCAGTTTTCAATCTCAAAGTGACTCCTTCCTTTCCATAGCCACAGACCTTGCTCACGTGAGGTTACTACTATAGGCCAACTTCTGCCTGCACAAACACACTCATGACAATCAGAGGTTTACTTCATGTACAAAAGTGTGCACCCACCAGTTCAATTCTTGGGCTTGGACCAATAATGCTTAATTCTTTTATTAACCCACCCCCCCCTCCGCCCCCCAAGACAGAAAACAGATCCTCCTGACCCCTTTGTTGCATCCCCACTCAGGCTAGAATTTAACACAGCACAATTTATTCAGTAGTTCAATCTTACAACTGGTTAACTGCATAAATCCACCTAAAAGAAAAAGTAGTGGAAATGTTTAGGATCCCTCTCCTAGCACAAACAGCTCTTCCTACTGCATGTGCAGTGTGGAGGGAAGCTGTCCAGCCACTCCTCATGCCTGCGACTCTAACAGTAGCAGTGAGGGGGGTGGGTGTCCTGTCCATCTGCAAGAAGATAAGGAAGATTAAAGAAAACCCTCTTGTTGTGGAGAATATAGTGCTGCACCTGACTGATAACCCTGGAGTCTGAAGTCCTCTCAAACCCACAGCACTAGTTGGCTAGCACCATGCTAGCCAACTAGTTCAGAGCCAGCCCAAGTTAGTCCATTCCTTACAAATGAGCAGCAGTTGGTTCCTGTAACTTAAAGAGCTGTAGCCTTTCTCTGCCTCGTGAACCAAGCATCACTAATGAATGGGTATAAGTTTTTGGCAGAGGAAGGAACATCACAAAGATCAGGAACAAAGGAAACCCAAATGACTGCCTGACTCTCCACTGCCTTGATGCACCTACTCAGAGACTGCAGCTTGTGCACCCAATTGCTGACTTCCTCAGATATGGCTGGCAGTGTGCTTGTGAGTTGTAACCACCCTAAGAGGCTACTCACTGGCAGTAGGAGAGAGGAGGAAAGACTTCAGGGTTCGGATCTGCTCCCATTACCACATCAAAGCCAGTGGGACTGCTTGTGGACTAAAGGTCTGCTGGCTGAGAGTAAAAGAGCTGGCCGGTCATACATGCTCAGCCACATATCACCCTGATAAGAGCATGTCAGTGTCACACAAGGCTGAGGAATGAGGAAGGCTGGCTTTGTGGCTCAGGGGCTGCACTTGGCTTCACCAGATGTGGGTGTGACCCACAACAGGTCACTTCATATCTCTGTGACCAACATCCTAATCTGGAAAACAGGAATAATAATATTCCCTTTCCCCCACACGGCCCCTGTTTGAATGTAAAGACCTTTGGGCCAGACTTGACTCTTGAATATGGATTTATAAGACCCAGCACAATGGTCTTCCCATTTTGCTTGAAGACCTGTGATGTAAATAATGAGCCCTGAGCAGTGTAAAGAAACAAACTTTGGTTATAAATGAAGTAGGGAGATTCCCATAGCAGAAAGGATCTTCCTTTTAGGATAAATCCTGCCCCAGCCACCCCTTTCTAAAGTACCAAACATGCCAGATTGGGTCAGGGGACATGGAGGGTTGAGGGCTCTTCTATGCTGTGTCAATCTTTCATTTAGGGACAGTAGGACAATGGCTTACATTAGAGCAGTTCCTAGGGTGATGTGACTCACTGTGGCTAGATGTACAGGGCTGGAGATCTGTATCCAGCTTCCTACCTGCTCTCCACCTCCCCATGCTGAGGCAAGTAGGGAATTGTAATGATAACTTTTGGATTTTAATTATACTGGTAATTAAATTAATCATTACATTAAATTAATCACATCCATTATAGTGTCTGAAGGCTCATTATACTGTACATAAGAGCCACAAAATAAATAAATAAAAACTGTATAAACTGTTAGGAATGTTGCTCTCAGGAGGGAGACCTGTCAGCTGCAGAATACTTTCAAGTCTTGTCTTATTAGTAATTGGAACTGTAGTTAATATTCACCGTAAACACACCAGTCAGACTTGATAATAAAGAATCACTAGCCTAGGAACACATACTCCACTTTCTCTGCATTTCAGTGTTAACTCCGTCTGAAAACAACACTTAAATAGCAAACACAAAAACATTGGTGTGGTACTAACATCCCAAACTTTCCAAAATAACCAGCTGAGCAGCAATTCAAGTTGAAAAGCAACTTGGCTGAACCTGCAGGCTAATAAACTACTTGATTAAATTAAGGGGTAAAAAACTAATAAATATTCAAAACGCTTGATAATGCTTTGTTTGACATAAAGAACATTTAATGCAAGTCTTGCTGGAAAACCTGTCAGGTTTTTATACCTTAAATAGTGTTTTGCATTTAGAAACACCAAACGATTCCATTTGCAGCCTTTGATTGTTGTCTTCTGTCACTTTAATCACGCTGGTAAAATTACAAGATTTCTGTGAAGTCAAATCCGTTTACAATGCAGTTTTAATACAGCTTTGCAGTGTGTTCTTCTACGCTTTTTTATTTAGTTACTCCCTACCTAGCAATGCTTTACTTTGTTCCCGAGCCCTCACTTCCCTGGGGTTTACTTTAACTAATGCTCTCTCAAGGAGGATCAAAATAAACCAGAATTAACCCTGCCCAAATTGGCAGTCCAAAGGGCAGACTGAACTCTGTCCTGAGCACACACCCCAGCTCTGCCACAGTCTCACAGTGCAAATAACGCTCACAGTGAGAACTGATGTTCTCACATCCAGGTTCTTGCCAAATCCTGTTGGCTCCTGTCTCAAAGCCTCTCTAAAAATCCATCCTCCTAAGTCTCAGTCAATACTATGACCATTTCTCACTTCTGAAGGACTGTCGCCTCCTCTTTGCACCCACCCATTTATCTAAAACACCTACCAGTTGTAGCAAGGTACTTCTCTACTCGGCTCCCTTCACTGGCTCTCTCTTACCATCCAAAAGAACTTCTGGGTCTACAGCTTTCTGGTGCTGTAAAATTCCTACTTGCCTCTCTTCATATACTTCCCCCACTTGCCTTTTTGCTTTTTCCACCTTGCTCAGTCCCCTCCAGCTTTTCTCCCCTTCTCCATGCTCCTTGAATTAAGCAACCACTCCTCCAAATAGCTCCTCTAGACCACATTTCTTGTGCAGAACTTTTATAGCAAATAATCACAAAAGACTAAACTTATATTGAACTGTATCGTCCGATCCCAGTTTCCACATTATATATTGTGTGTCTGCCTTGCGTTTTCTGTCCAATTTAAATGATAAACTCTTTGATGTACTGGCCATGTAAGTATATCCTCATTATATAAAAAGAACCCAACCCTTAATTGTGCAAATAGGGCTAAGTGTTGGCTTTCAGGGAGGGAGATGAGTTATTCTCTCCATTCAGAATCTAGTAATGATCCTCATCTAAGAAGCTTAGTCATCTGAGGAATGATTCAGCCAAGACCTATTATCTTGCCCTGCATGAAAGTTGAAATCTCACTGGAAAGCTAAGGCAGATTCCTTTGCCAGAGACATGCAGCATGTCTAGCAGCTCCTGAATGGGGAGGAAGTATCATTTAACTGTAGAGTCAGATCTCTAGCTGACTCTTGTCACCTACATTTGGGATGCTGTTGTCTTCTCTTTTTTATACATGTGTATAGAGATACCATTAATTCTGTAAATCCAAACACAGCGCTACAATCATGAGAAAAATGTATCGTGCTAATCAAAAATTCAAAATTAGCAAAATAAGATGCAGTTAACATATTTACTCCACAGAATCCCCTCAATAAATTCCAGCCCCCTGAGACCATTTTGCCTTTCACAAATTGAGTTAGGGATCATTCCTTGAAATCCAAATGTCCTCACTAGTTGCATCTAATAGAAATCCTCATGGGTTTATTTAAAGTTGCTATTTTAATACCAATAAGAAACAGATTTTTGCAACTTTAATTCCTGTAACTATCAAATGTAAAATGTTTCTTTCAGATGCTGAACATTAAGCTATGGTAAGTGCTAGCTGCTGGTGCCGCTTCTTAATTGTTGTTATACCCTGATAAATAAGCTAAAAATGTGAGAAAATAAAATTAGTTTAGAAAAACTGATTTAGCCGTGAGCTTCATCGTTTAACTTTTTATGGTATCCATGACAACCACTGGTCCATTTATTAAATGATAGCATCCCCAGTGTAATACACAAGTGCAAAAAATTCTAACAATAAACAGCAACATTTAGTTAAGTGTGTTTGGGTCAAGCACACAAACCAACCCGCACCAAAATAAATGACTGAATAGGAAAAAAATGGATTGTGCACTATGGCCTCCCTTACCTTAAAGTCATCTGGGAGTAGCAATTTAGATGTCCTTAGGAAGCTTAATATATATCTGAAAATTTCACCATCTCGATCAATGAAATAATGTTGTTTTAAACTGTCCAAGACAATAGGCTCTGTGCCGTTAAACAGACGACTTATTCTGAAAAAAAGAAAAGAAAAAAAATGAGCAAAAGAAAGAGACAAGATTTCCATTACACTTTCAAGACTTAAAAACAGTCCATCCAATTCAGTTATATTTGTTCAAGGTGCATAATGTTAGATTAATGCATGACCCTAATTCTATGACACATGCAAACAGGTGCACGATGATCAATGTTACATATACACAAACAGAGACATGTATACAAGCGTATGCAACTCACACACATCTGTAGAGACACATATTTGTAGTCAGGCCCTATCCTGCAGTTGCTCCTCAGGCAAAACTCTCATTGACCAGAATAAGGGCTGCAAATGAGGCCCATGATCCTGACTGCAGAAATGTCTAAGATGCTTTTGCCCTGCAGTGGACTACGCTTGGCTGATCTGGATATGGGTTGCTGACTATTCAAAAAAAAATCCCTGTTTACCATGTATAGCTCATCTAGAATTGAACTGCTGTTCTGGGATGAGCTGCTAGCCAATAGGTTTTTCCCCAGGTTGGCTGTCATTAGTGAAAAATCATTTATGTTTTAGAGAAGTAATTTAAATTAGCTAATTTTAGCCAGACAGATCTCAATCCATCTAAGCTTTTGATGTTGGATGGTTTAGATCAGAGTGTCAAACATGGCTCCATGGAGCCCCGCAATCCAGTTCCTGGTGCTGTCCCTGCGTCTGATCAGACCCACGCAGGGCACAGCCTGGATCTGGCCCACAGACCCTCTTCTGCTTCCCTCTCCCCCTTCCTTTTCCCCTTCCCCATTGTATGCAGGCCAGATGAGGGGCATAGGGCTGGTCCACAGGCTGGATCAGTCCCATGCATGCTCTCCTCTTCTTCCCTTGGCATAGCTGATCCGGTGGCTGCTCCAGCTGGTCTGGGGCCTGCACTAGTGAGGTGCAAACTCTGGAGCAACCAGATAGCACCACACGTGGTGCCCACTGAGAACTGCCACATACTGCACCTGCTCCATCCAGTCCAGGACCCATGGTGCGCACAGTGCTCACAGGCATTGCATGCAGCACAAGTCCTGGTCAGGCTGAACCAGGTGCTTCATGCAGTCCAATCCTGGAGCTCTCAAAGTGGGCACCATATTGGCGCATTCTAGCTAAGGCACCCAGTGCATGCAGCACGGCTATCACTCCAGCTGGACTATGCTGCATGCAGTGCCCATACTAGCCACTCTAAGATTCATGCTGCATGCAGCACAGGTCCTGGACTTGCGGAAGCAGCTGCCAGTTCAGGTATGCTGGGGAAAGGGGATTGGGAAAGGGTCCATGGGCCTGATCTGACCCATGGACTGCCCCCATGCCACTTTTCTGACCCATGGGGCCAAATGAGTTTGACACCTCTGTTTTAGACAATTGAGTTTTGCAGAGCTATGAATTGGCTCATCCAAGTTTCTGCAGCTATTACATTTGAAATTGCAGTGCTGCAGCCAATGTGTTGACTACTGAAAGATAGATAAAGAGAAGTTATTTATTGGCAAAGAAAAAGGATTTAGATCTGACACCAAATATCCGATTGGTTAGGTATAAAGGTGACCAAAATATGTTAGAAAAATTTCCTTTTTCATGAGAACATAGTCTTGGTTTCTTTAAAGTTCTGAACAACATACTCCACGGGAAGAGACCTGGGCATTTGCTTGGCTGGAATTCCCTCTTCTTTACACTTCTAGTTTTTCCTTCCTCAAGAAGTAACACATTTGTGTATTTTTGCAAGCAAAATTATAGAAGAAATAGACAGAAAAGACCTATTGAGTCCATCTCCCTGACAAGGCAGCACTGTTCCCTACTGCTTAGTGTTGGGTGGTTTTAAAAGTCCCAGCTATCGGGAGTCCTGTTATTTACCTATAACACTATTTTACAACCCTCTGGATTCCGCTGTCAGAAAGTTTCCCCATAGATTTAATTTAGCTATGTCTCCTGTACTTCTAGCTATACCAAGAAGCAATTTTCTCCCTTCTTGGCATTTACGCTCTTAAAGTAATTGCATCAACTCTACCCTTAGCTAATCATAGTTCCCAAGTTACACTGTGCACAACCATATTTGCTCCTTCTTTAGCCAATCTATAATATAGAATCATAGAAAATTAGGTTTGGAAGGGACCTCAGAAGGTCATCTAGCCCAGTATTTCTTACCCCGTGGGTCACAACCCAAAAGTAGATCGCAAGAATATATGAAAGGGTTGCAAAAACAAATGAAAAACGCGGGAAACTGACTTTTCCCTTGCAGTCTGGCAGAGTTCCAGTCTGCGAGGGGCTGCTTGGGGCTCCCCCATGCCGCACACCCACCCCCTGGTTCCCAGCCCCACTCCCTACCCCGCACAGTAGGGAGCTGGGCACGGGAGGCAGTGGGTTGGCAGTGAAGAGCACTGGGTTAGGACAGGCCACTGATGATTACAGATGGGTCCTGGTACAAAAAAGGTTGAGAACCAGTGCTCTAGTCCAATCTCCTGCTCAAAGCAGAACCATCCCAACTAGATCATTCCAGTCAAGGCCTTAAAAACCTCCAAGGATGGAGATTCAACAACTTCTCTGGTTAACCTGTTCCAGTGCTTCACCACTCTTCTAGTGAGACAGTTTTTCCTAATATCCAACCTGAACTTCCCTTACTGCAACTTGAGCCCATTGCTCCTGTTCTGTCATCTGCCACCACTGAGAACAGTCCAGCTCCATCCTCTTTGGCTCCACCTTTCAGGCAGCTGAAGGCTGCTATTAAATCCTCTCAGTCTTTTCTTTTCCAAACTAAATAAGCCCAATTCCCTCAGCCTCTCCTCATAAGTCATGTGCCCCAAGCCCCTCACCATTTTCACTGCCCTATTCTGGACTCTCCAATTTGTCCACATCCTTTCTGTAGTGTAGGGCCCAAAGCTGGACACAGTACTCCAGCTGTGGCCTCACCAGTGCAGAATAGAATCACTTCATTCGATCTGCTGATCATGCTCCTGCTAACACAGCCCAGTATGAGTTAGCCTTCTTGGCAACAAGGGCACACTGTTGACTCATATCTAGCTTATCATCCACTGTCTAAAAGCTAGGTCCTTTTCTGAAGAGCTGCTGTTTAGCCAGTTGGTCCCAAGCCTGTAGTGGTGAATAGATAGATATATGCAAAGATATTTTTTCTAACCTTTATGCATAAATTAAACTCTTCAGCCCACTTTATCTTTTTCACTGCTCTTGGAACTTCCTAATTCATCAATAGCTCTGATAACAATTTGCTCTGAACTGACTGTGACAATCCGGCTGCTCTTGCCCATGATGGATACCTTTGTGTCTGCCGCCCAAATCTGCACTGCTTTGAAAGGCTGCATTGTACTTGCAGCTGATGTGTAATTTGTTCTTCGCTAGCACTCCTAAATCAGAAGTTTCTCACTCTTTCTAATTTAGTATCATCTTCAAATGTAATTAATGTCTCATTTATTTCTATATTAACTATGGAATTATTAAGCAAGACTGGATCTAAAACAATTCCCTGCTGTGCTACGTCCGCTAAAAACTCTGCAACCCCAGCTTGGATCCATACTTTGCTATTTACCATTGTCTTTTGTTTATTATCATTAAGGCCAACATCAATACACGTGCAAAGTCTGTATCCAAGGTGGTTGAAAGTACTTAGGAAAATAGATTAAATGCTTTCCTAAACCCCAAATATGTCTACCACTTTGCCTTCAATCTTTATCTTTGCAACTCCACCAAGGAAAGCAATTTGCTTTTCCTTGCTATGTTTATTCTATGCAATGCAGTATTCCAGAAACCTCCAGAAGTTGAATTAATTTTTAATTTAATCTTTATGCCATCATCTTCCCTTGTAATAATTATTTTACAAGGAACGATCAGGGCCATTTATCTCAGATGCTATAGACTAAATAGACACTGTGTAAGTGTTAGTTTTTAGGTCAGGAACTAAACGGCTAATTGCACAAGGCACCCTCACAAGCTACACAGAAGCCTGGGTTTTTCTTGGTTAAACTGGAAACGATCAGGAGTTCAGGGATACACCAGCTGATGTTCGAGGCTGCACTTGTTTTGAATTAAATTTGCCTGGTGACAGAGCAGTTCTGCGAGCTCCTACAGGTAGGCTGCAGCTTTGATCTTCTACCCATTGGGAGCCTTTCTTCTGTGTTTAAAAAGGTGCATGAAGGAAATCCAGTGGCTACTCCCCAGGTTTCTGGTACAAAAAAAGGAGAATGTTTGTCAACAGAGGAGGGAGGCAGGGAGGCTGGGATAAAGGATTTCTAGTTAGGTTGTGCTTAATGTAGTGCAGGATTGTTATTGTATTGAAAACAAAAGGCGAGTTTTCAGGCCTCTGTGGATTGCCTGCAGCATTATTTCTTCACTTCTAAATTTGCGGCTGGGGAAGCTCACAAAGCGTTGAAAGATTTAACGGCCACCCCAAAACCAGAGTGGAGCAATGTTGTGAGGATTTGGCTGGCATTTCAGCGGGCTGTTAGCTTCCAGGAAAAAAACTTCCGAGCACCTCCTGCATCCAGAAAGTGTTTTCCCTTGTAACCAGCTTTGCACAGGCAAACTCCACCTGTGGGAAGTCAGTCAGAGGAAGAAATGCTTCCCAAGCACCAGGTGATTTCAAAGAAAATGACAAGAACATCTGGCTTCAGGTAGAAGCCCTCCACAACAAGTTTGCTTGTGACGTGTTTCTATGAGGAGCATTAGAAAATTGCATGTGTTAGCTGCACACGCAAACTGACATTTGATTTGTTCATGGGATACAATGAAACAAAGTGTTATGCTGTTCAGTAAAGGAACAGGGTAACGAATAAATATATAGCAATTTAGGGAAATGACAGCACACACAACGCCTGCCTGTAAACTGCAAGAATTATGTGTCTCCTTTACAAGACTAGACTGAGGCCAGATCTGCAGACACGTATATGACTGTGCAGCAATAGAGGGTCATGTGTCTTGAAGCACTGTGCTGGGATAGCTGGGCTCCGGAGTACCCTGGGGCCTTTCATGATTTGGATTGGCGGTGTGCAGGCATGT